ACAGTATCTTCTGCTGCCATCTCTTAAACTCGGTACCATTAAATTTTTCCGGTTTTTCTCCATGATTGATTGGTACATGAACATGGTTCTGGATAGAGACCGATGTAGGTGTAACAATAGGAGTACCACTGCCAGATGCAGTTTCAGTTGTAGTAGCCATAATCTCTGATTACAAAAATCAGAAAACCAAACCACAAATTAATTTTCTAGTTACTAAAACCAGAAAATAAATTATAACACAAAATAATTTTATTTTCCTTGTTACTAAAACTAGAAAAATAAAATATCACAATAATTTTCTGTAACACAAATTAATATTCTGCAATTATTAATGACACCAGTATATTACTACTAGTTGTCAAAGAAAATAGATAGTATATTACTACTATCTGTCAAATAGTATATTAATACTATTTGTTTTCCAACCAAAATATCACTTTGTGAAAACACAGAAAATTAAATATAATGAAGACACCAAAAAATAATCTGTTTTGAGATTGTTGGACAATCTTCACTGTATTTGAAAAAAACAAATTGAATTATGTTTGTGTACTTAACAATAAACAGAGTACAGAAGAAATAAAAGAAAAGAAGAGAATTTGTTTAATTACAAAAATCAAACCAAAAAAATAAAATAAAATAAATACAAATAGAATTTTATTTTGTTACAAAAATAAAATTAAAATCTGATTTAATAAACAAATAAAACAGAATAATAAATTAAACAACTTACTTGATTAATTTCTTCTAATAAATATCTGATCAAGTCCAGTGTTTGACACTGTGTCCTTAAGACAGATTCGTCCTCTCCACGGTGCTTTCAGAATGTGGACGTCTATCTCTCAAGATGAAATGATCAACTACAAACAATAGCAGCACTACAAATTGTTTGCCTAACGAACACACTAAGTGTTTATACTCTTTCTCACAAAAATTAAATGCAACAAAATGAAGGATAAATTTGCAGAGGTGAAGTACGAAATTTCTGAATGTGTAAACATTAAATGAGGGTTGTCCTATTTATAGATGTAGTGGTGGCTGCAGGTTTTGAATTAAACAGGTGCAAACCTGTTTGAACAGGTATGATTGGTTTTGAATTTAAACAAATTTGAATCTGTTCAAAAATTCAAACAGATAAAAAAAGGGGAAGGGCCCTGTTAGGGTGTACAGCAAAATCGGACCAGTTTATTTTCGGAATTAATTTTTCCAAAAAATAAAATAAAATTCAAATGTTTTTGGTCCAAAAAGATAGGTATTGGGCCGAACAAGCCCAACCTCACACCACGCGCCCTGTTAGGGTGTACAGCAAAATCGGACCAGTTTATTTTCGGAATTAATTTTTCCAAAAAATAAAATTAAATTCAAATGTTTTTGGTCCAAAAAGATAGGTATTGGGCCGAACAAGCCCAACCTCACACCACACGCTTGCGCCTAAGCCCAGCCTGACCCGACGGATGGCGGCGCGCGCATGATTTTTTTTGGGTCCAATGGGTCTAGCCCATTTTTCCCATAACCTCCCTCTGTAAAACACTTGAGTACCCCTTGGGGTACACCCCAAGTTCCAATCCCATGCCTTATAAGCCCATTCAAAACTTCCCACCAAATCAATGTGGGACAAGCCTTATTCAAATCTTTAAGGATTTTCTACCAAAACTCCATTTTCACGGAACATACTTTGACTTCAATTTTCTATTCACTAGGTAATGATTTTGAGCAACCAAATATACCACGTGAATCACAATACGACATAGAACGCGTTACCACTTTGACCCGTGAAAATCGACGCACGGGGCCCACCTAAAAAATAGATCAAAGTTAGGAAAAAATTCTGATTTTACCCAGAATTTTCTAAACCATTTCCAACAATTTCCATTGTTGCCTTGTGATCCTCACCAGCGAGCTCAAGCCAGGTTCTGGGATGATTTTGTTGACAAGAAGGTGAGCCCTAACTCTTCCATATCTGTTTTACCTAACCACTGTTAAGTATTGTTTGAAATATTGTGCCTACGTACCAACATTTCATTATTGCATGTTCTACAGATATGTAGTGTTTCGAAGTTGACGTGGTCATCCACAGGTGAAGCCCAAGAAGCAGCAAAGAATGACCTCATTGGGTGCTTGGAGCTGTTGGAAGGAGAGCTTGGAGACAAGCCTTATTTTGGGGGTGACACCTTTGGCTTTGTGGATGTGGCACTGATCCCATTTTTCAACTTTTTCTGTACAATCGAGCAGCTTAGCAACTTCAGGATTGTGGCAGAGTGCCCTAAACTTGTTGCTTGGCGTCATAGGTGTATGGAAAAGGAGAGTGTGTCCAAGTCATTTCCTAACCACCACAAGCTCTATGACTTCTTATTAGGGAGCAAAAAGAAACTTGAGGCTAAGTAAATCCCTAAAAGAGTGTTTAATTGGAGTGTTATGACATAGTGTTTTCATTATTCTCTTTTGCCTATATTGGGACCCTTTTTCTTTTTACCATTTGTTCTCTAGAGGTTGTGTTTGCTTATGGGAATGTTTCGTTTATGTTAGTTATACTTGAATAACAAAAATATTGAAAGTTCTAATTTTGGAACTTGGAGAGCCTTAATTGTGCGATCCACTATATAATGTGATGTTTAGCACAATAATGCATATATAAATGTCAATTTGAACTTGATATACAATTAGCAAATGTAGTCCATTTATTACATGCGCCCCTTGTCTCAATGCACTTCCTACTATGGAATTATATAAGAATTTTGAGGCATATGTGAACCTCAAGATATGAACCTCAAATTTAGAAACATCAATAGAAACATAGAAATTTTAGCCACAAACCAATTGAGAATGTATTAAGACAGAGAGATATAGAAATTTGAGAAAAGAAAATCCTGTATCATTACATGTCATATGGCTCATAGAAACATCAATATAGACCATGTTATCAAAATAACTTCAATTGTGCAAATATAACTTCAATTGTGCAAATATAACTTCTTGATTACAATGCCAATAATGCTATCAAAATAACTTCAATTGAGCAACTATAACTTCTTTATTACCATGCTAATTGGAGACTAAACATATAAATACTGTCGAAGGCAGGCTACTCTACTTTACTCTACTCCTAACATCTTATTAAGCTTGACAACAAATTCATAGAGTTTTTCTGGGTTTTGAAGAGACTTGGACACACTTTCCTTTTCGATACACCTTTTAGCCCATGCCACCAAAAGGGGGCACTCTGCTTCTATGCTGAAATTTCCAAATTTCTCCAATGTGTAAAACCTGCTATAAAATGGGACAAGTGCAATGTCAACCAACCCAAAGTTGTCACCACCAAAGTAGGGCTTGTCACCAAGCTCTCCCTCTAGCAACTTAAAGATCTCTATCAGTTCTCTTTTGGCTGTCTCTTGATCTTCTCCTTTACTCATCCATACCTTTTTACATGCTGCATAAATCTGTGCCAGGTCACACAGTTTCAACAAATTAGTTGGGAAAAAATAATAATAATTAGCAATACTAGAAAAATTAAATGAAGATGAAATGCGTGGAGCAAATTTGAATTTACTTCATACACTTCATTTTGAGGATACTTTTTCAAGGTGCATAATTTTTTCAATGAAAAAATGTATAAAACTTGCGTATCACTTTACGACAAAGAATCACAGAAGATGTGACTCCCTCCATCTCAAATTGTATGGCCATTTTCACTACTCCAGACATCTAAAAAAATTAATTTTCAATTTATTATTTTTTCAGCGATTTTGAACATTTTTTCTACAAGAATTAATTGAGATCTTCTAATTTATCAAAAGAATAATAATTTTTTTTAACAGAAATATATTATTTATTAAGCCAATTAAAAGTCATAAATGCCAAAAATGAATAAATAATTTCGGACAGATAGAATATTTAATTATGAAAACACAAATCAAAACCTGCCTCCATCGGTTTCGGCATATTTTTCAGACTAAGCGGCATCAAAACTCAAACTGAAATGAAAAAAAGAAAAAAAGAAAAAAAAAAAATTGCTAAAAATGAACCAACCTTCTTGTCAATGAAATCAGCCCAAAACCTAGCCTGTGCTCTCCGGTAAGGATCAGAAGGCAACAATGGAGATTTGTCCTTCCAAACTTCATCAATGTATTGAAGTATGGGTAGGGATTCACATATGACTTTACCATTGTGAATTAACACTGGAACTTTCTTATGAACTGGGTTCAGATCCAATAGAAAAGAGCTTTTGTTGAACAAGTCCTCTTCTTTGTACTGGTACTCAATACCCTTCTCTTCAAGGGCAATTTTCACCCTCAGACCAAAAGGACTTGTCCAGAAACTCACAAGAACCACTTCATCAGACATTTTGTATCAGATCAGCTCAGATCAGATCAGACCAGACCAGACCTCAAAAGCCAATAAATGTGTTTTGCAATTGATCGATAGGTTGTTTTATGAAAACTATAAAGTAGCTGAATTATATATATATGGGGCATAGCTTCTGTTGAGTCCTTAATCGAATTGGATCGTGCTGTTGGGTTTGTGGGGGTCCATCACAGGTTCTGTTTTGATAATTTGAACCGTTCAATGTGTAGAACTCATCGAGCACTATATAATATTAAGAAATTACGTTAATCGGATATCGATAGCTATGTGATCAAATCAGTTTTGTATAAAAAAATAGACGGTGAATAAATTAACGATTGACAAAAATCTATTTTAATCACATAGCTATCGATATCCGATCCATAGCTATCGATATCCGATCAACGTGATTTTTTACAGACATATAGTACTCGACGAGTTCTACACATTGAACGGTTCAGATTATCAAAATGAGACCCATGGTGGGTCTCTACAAATCCAACAACACGATGTAGTCTGATTAAAGACGGGACATAAGCTATATGTATGCCATAGTTTGTATTATTGCTTTGAGATGTCACCGCGTGCGTAAGATATAGCCCCATTTGTCTCACCAAGGATCCTCTAGAGTGAAATTTCCCTAAAGTTTCCTAGAGTGTTATATTGTGTGATTGAGATTTACTGGCAAGTCACATCAGAAAAATTGATGTGACTTGCCAGTAAATCTCAACCACACAATGTTGCACTCTAGAAAACTTTAGAAAAAAATCACTCTAGAGGATCCTTGCTCCATTTGTCTTTAGAGGGATGAGAATTCGTAGTGACGGGATTAAGGGTTGGTTTGACATAAATTAAGGGTTTATTTGAGATGATTTAAATAAGTGTATTTTTTATCTTTTTATGAAAAGATATGTAGAAAAGTAGAGCGGTGATATGATGGAAAAAAGATAAAAAGATGGATTATTTTTGGGTTGCCAAACTTGGCCTAAATAATACAAAAAGTGAAAAAGTCACTATCCTATTTAAGTCACATCATTTTATTTAAATCACATCACTTCTCTAACACATCACATGAACCCAACCCAAACCCAACTCATATAAGCCAATAAGTCAAAAAGTGTACTTTTTTAGAACATCCCAAACCAACCTAAAATGTTTTGATAGTAATTATTAATGTAGGAATTGTTAAATTATTTTTATATAAAATAATAAAATAAATAAAAAATTAAATATTAATGTTTTAAAAAAATTCTAATATATAAAAAATAAAAAATAAATAAAAAAATTTATAATCCCCTCATTATTTTTCTAATATCATCTCCACCTTCACCTCCTCCATCCCAATCGCTCTTTCAACCTCCATCTTAATCCCCTCCTCCATTTTAATCTATTCTCTAACTCTATAAACAAATACAACACTAAATAATCTCACATCCATCTTAATTCTCTCCCATCCTTTATATCCCAAAACAAACAGGCCATAGTGTTTAAAAGTTGAAGTTGTTTTTGTTCCACTCTCGTCATATGTTTAGGGTAGGCATGTTCTAAAAATAAATAATAAAATAAAATAAAATTCCGTCGTATTGGATTTTGACTAAAGATCAAATAATTTTTTTAAAAAAATTAAAATTTCAATATACATTTTATGAACACAGCTTCCCTCTAGTTTCCAATTGGATGGTCTAGTAGACCCACCACAGGCCCTCTTCAATGATTTCATCTATTAATTTTTTAAGGTCATGTATGGATCGATTAAAAAAAATTATATTTGTCAATTATTTTTTTGAATATGAATGTGATGAATCATGAGTTACAATTATCAAGTCAATTTGATTTTTTTATAAATTATTTACTCATTGGTCTCGTTTGGTAAGTGGCTATTTTAGTAGGTTATTTGGCTTTTTGACTATTTTAATAGGCTATTTTAGTTTTGTGTTTGGAAAAATGAGATGAATTTTTAGTTGAGTTGTTATATTGGAAAGTGTGTTGAAATGATGTTTAAATTTAAAATGATAGATTTATCCCTAACTTTTTATTTTTAAAATTGATATAAAGGGGCAAAATAGTAATTTTGCCCAGCCTATTTTTTATTTTTTATTTTTTTTGAAAATCAGTAAAAAGGTGCTACAGTGTTGGCTTTTGGGCTAATTTTTTAAAAGAGACTATAATAACCTCAACCTCTGATTGCCAAACACCCCCATTAAGATCTAAAAAATTACAACAATGATTTAGACCACTAAAAAATACATCACTAATAGCACTAATGCATTGGGAATGGTAAAAAGAAAAAAGAAAAAAAAAAGAAACAAGGCATAGAAGGTGGGCAGGACCCACTGTCACATCATTAGTGCTTTTTTTAGTACTCCATTTCTAATGCTCCCAAGCATTTTTCAAAAAATTAATAGATCAAATAATCAAAACAAGATATGTAGTGACGTTAATTAGACCTGTTTAATCTACATAATGGCTCAAAATAGACTCTCATTTCACATATTCTCATATATTTTAATATAATTTTTATAAACAGTAACATTAACCATGGTCAAATTTTTTTGAAAAAAAAACTCAACAAAATAGAAGTGAAAAAGGGAGCATTGTACAAACGACAAACTGTTTTTTTTTTTTTTTGATTGTGACGTCACTGCTTAGAGAAGAGGACTACATAAACAAGCAGAAACAATTAAAAAAAATTAACCCTTTTAAACTAGTGAAAGTGTTGTCCTCCTGCTCGCACATCATAGAAATATTCAATAGAAATTTCGTTAACCTACGGGAAATTATTCTATAGTTCTGAAATTCTTTTTTTTTTTTTTTATAAAAAAAATCATATTTGTCAATTATTTTTTAAATATGAATGTGATGAATTACAAGTTACAATTATCAAGTCAATTTGATTTATTTATAAATAATTTACCCATTAACATTTGAAAAATTAACAGATCAAATAATCAAACAGGACCTGTAATGACATTAACTAGACCGGTTTAATCTACGTATGTAGCACCAGAAAAATTTGAAGATGATGAATTTAGTAGTATAGATAGGGAAGAAATCAAGACAATCGTAGTGACATAAATCAACTTTATGTAATGACAGAGGAAAAAATAATAGAATAAAGGTTGAGACCCCTTTTGGGGGTCACCCCCTTGACCCCCTTTAATTTTGATTGGTCAACTTTTTTTTTTTTTTTTTTTTTTCACCCAATCCCCAACCTCCATGTGTATGAGGGGGTTGTGGGGATGGGTGTTTTAAGGGGGTCTAAATCAATGCCCAAAATAATATCACAAAATAAAATATATAATATTGATGAGATAGATTTAGAAAATTTCACTCTAACCGATATGAATAAAATACTAGATACCAGATATTTTGAATATTTAGTTAGAGGAGATATCCATGATGAAGCAGTGTCATTTCTAGATCAAGAATTTCATACAGAATATGTAGATGATATCATATAAGATAAAATACACCCTAGCAAGATATTTAGAATACCAAAACAATCTAATTTAGAAGATACTTTTTACATGAACACAGAAAGCACCGGAACCAGTAACCCACAACCAACTGTAGAAGATCCCGTAGAACCAATGCATTATGTAGTAGGAGGAAGAAGACCATTAGCTAGTTCAGGACGCAGTAAAGCAAATCCAAATAAAAGCTATAGATTTCATGAAAAGCGTAGACAACCAGATATGAGCATACAATTACAGCCAGTCAATAATCAAGGAACCCTTTTAGATTTAGCCAGATTCGACCCTCAGATATGGCAAGAAGTGATAGAAAAATAGGAAAAAGATGCGGTAAAGACATGGATTAGTAATCCCTTTGAATCAACGGATATGTGGGAATATATGGAGACACTTTTAGGAGATTCAGCTTATCATATTTATCTAACTTTTAAAGGAAAATATGAGGAGATAATTAAACAGCTTAAAGAACTAGGAGATAACCCATGGAATTTTATTAGTTTTATAAAAGAAATACTTATAGGATATGACCCTTCCAAAAGAAATGATCACACTCAAAGCATAGCATTAACTGAGTTAGATCAGATAACATTAGGAAGTTGGAAATATATTGTACCCTTTAGTAAAGAATACTTAGCCATAGCAGCTAGAATTGGAAAAAGTTTTGATGAAGAAATAGGAAATAGGAAATAAATATTTTATAAAATTACCTGGAGAATTAGGAAGAGACATAGAAAATAAATGGTCAGTTTATCATGCAAATTTACCAGCGAAAATAGCCGCAGGAGAAGTAAAAATAAGAGGAACTTTAGGAATAGGACCTAGAATAGTTTATACATTTCTTAAGCTCAGAGAAAAATGTATAGAAGTCAAAATACAGAAAGATTTGAAAAAACAAAATTATGATTTTTGTAGCAATATAATATATACTCCGCAGCAATATAAAGATAAATATAATAGGAAAAAATACAAAAAATATGAAAAATATAAAAAAGAAAAATAATGGAAGAAAAAATATAGAAAACCATGAAAAAAACAAAAATTCATAAGAAAGAGTAGAACTTTTAATAGGATAAATTATAAGCGACTATCCGAAGAGGAAAGAGATAAAAGAAAACAAAGATATGTTAGAAAATCCAACAGTAAAAAATGCAATTGTTTTATATGTAGAGAACCCAATCATTTTGCAAAAGCCTGTCCAAAAAGACAAATACCTAATACTAATAAACAGATAGAAAGACTACATATAATAGAAGACTTAGAAGAAGATATAGTTAGCATAAATAGTTGATGATTCAGAAGTGTATAGCATAGTCAGTAATTATGAATATCAAATAGAAGCCATAAGTTCAGATAGTGATTCAGAAAGTGATACAGATGTAGATAATCTTTTAAGACAACTCAACCAAGAAATAGGAACGACTCCTTCTCATGATACTTTCTTTATGATGGAATGCAACGCAGATACTGAATGTCAGCATAATTTTCAAATAGGACTAGGATTTGATACACTAGATGCAGTTATTGTAATTGGTTTCCAGCTAAAGATAAGAGAACTCAGTGTTTATTATGCAGTATAACCTATTGTATAGTCTGTCTCGAAAAATTAAACATGACACATAAGATAACATTAGGAAATAAT